AAAAAAAAAAAAAAAAAAAAATCTTCATTGTATATATAAAATCTTATATTATGTATAACTTAAATGTCGGTGTCTTATTTTTTTTAAAATTTTTTTTTCAGAGACAGCAAAAGGTACAATTAAGTTGACCCCAAGTAGAACAGGAGTTGCGATTGGTGATACACATGATGTCATATGTGAAGTGATTGGTGTTCCATTAACAACCCGCCCTCTATGGTATGGACCCTTTAATAGCATCATTGGTCCCCAACAATCAGGTTAGTGTCATGTCCCTCTAATCTAATTATAAGATACCATATTTTGACTCTGATTATTACATATTATCTGATAAACAAGAAATAACTTTTGATAATATTCTATAACAACAGGCACAGAGAGAGTTTACATCGAGAACTTGAGTCCTACAGTTACAAAACTTGTCATCCGTAACCTTCAGCCTGAAGACCAAGGCACATACAGGTGTGAAGCAGGTCGTGTACAGGTCATCTACGAACAATTGACTTCACTAGGTTAGTTGGTTTGAATAATATTAATTGTTTTCTAAACGATTTTTACTGTAGTTGTCTTTTGGTTATGATTGTCTTTTGGTTGTGGTTGTCTGCTAAAAAAAGGTGGATGGGAATGAGTTATTAGTTCTGAGATGGCACATACTTTGGCACGGTATGCTAATTATGACGTATGACAAGACAAGGAATTGTGTAAGTCTGTTTAAAGTTGGGAAGATGTGATAGGGCATTGTAACACATATTGAATCACAGTATTAGCTCGTGTGTGAGCTAAATTAAAGGAAATGATGTGTATGTGTAATAAGCTTTTTTCTGATTGGCTGGAAGAACAATGTCGGTGATGACCAATTTCAAGGTGTTTTTATTTCCCAGAGGAATTGATTTGATGACATCCAAACATGAATATGATTATTACAATGACTTGAAAACGTCCCAAATTATTCGTCATCTCAGAAACAAAACTCACCACCGATGAGTAGAAAGGAAATTAGTGTAAAGTATTAAGCTGTGCTGATGTATTACAGGATAGTGACATTCAAGAAATATACATGTTCTAATAACTGTTATACTTGTTTTTCTTTTTAGTTGGCTGTCGAGAACCTTGTCAAAATGGTGGAACATGTGCTGGCAGTTTATGTCGATGTCTCCCAGGCTATGGTGGTGAATTTTGTGCTCAACAATGTGAGTTTCTTTTTAAACTTTTTATTATCTAAACTCAAATCTGTCGTCCCACATCAGTGGAAACGAGCTCATGTAGTTCCAATTCCGAAAGCGAGTCGTGTTCCCTTTTCATTGAGCAATATGAGACCTATTGCCATTACAGATCATTTCGCTAAGATTGCGGAACATTTTATCGCTGCTGACACCATTGCCACAATGAAGGTTAAGCTAGACAAGATGCAGTTTGGAAATCTTTAAGGAATTTCAACTAATCATTGCCTTATTAATATTTTAAATAAACTTCATAGCCACGCAGATACACCTCACGCTGTTTCATCTATTCTCTTAACGGACTTCTCGAAAGCGTTCGACCTCATTGATCATTCGATTGCAATCCGTCGGATTTTGGATATGTCTGTCCCTTCTGCTTATGTTTCTTGGATTGCCGAGTTCTTAAGTGGTCGCATACATCAAGTGAAATACCAAGGAGTGTTATCAGATCAAGCGGTTATCAATGCCGGTGTGCCTCAGGGCACCAAACTGGGGCCCATTGTTTTTCTAGCAATGATAAATGAGGCTTCTAGTAACAACAAATCTATTCATCATTATAAATATGTTGATGATCTCACGTTTGTGGAATCTCGCAAGATTCATCAA